GCTGGCACAGGGAGCTGGGGAGCAGCACCCGCTGCGTCCCCTCTGGTGCAGCACACACCGGGCTGAGACCCTGCAGCACGGGCAGAGATGCAGGCCGGGTCCCCCCGGGATGCTGTACCGCGGCCTGCATCACCCCCAGACCAGCCCCACACCGTTCCCCTTGCCGCAGCCAGCCCAGAAGCTGCAGGAGGGCTGGGGTGGCTCCCCACGACACCGGGGCAGCGGTGTCTGTGCTCCAGCCGGCATCAGCAGGAGCAGGCAGAACCCCTCAGGATGCTGCAGGCTGCTGGCACCTTCCAGGCATCCAAGCCCCGGTGGTACCCCCTGGCAGAGCATCTCTAGGGCTGTAAGGCTGCTGAGCTTCCCAGCCCTGCCTGCCCTGGGAGATGGTGCCCCCATCCCTGCATGTGACATTCCTGATGGTTGGCATGTGGTCATGGGGTTGTGACCCCCAGGGACTGGGGCACCCTGGGAGGGGGAGACCCTCATGGCCAGCTAGCACCCACTGCTCCTGCGTGCCCTGTTGATCCCTTAGGGCAATGTTCCCTTGGGATCGCGTTGGAGGCTGGAGACCTTGCTCATGTGAGCCGGCGTGGGTGACAAGCAGGGCTTTGTTCACCCTGCGCTGCCATGCAGGACAACAGCCCTGCTCTGCTCCTGATGCCCCGGCTGTGTCACGGTGTGCTGAGCCCTCCTGCCCAGAAAAACTAGCCCAGCAGCTCTCAGGGCACACTGGGGACACGGGGCTGCCTCACACAGCCAGCACAGTTTGAGCATACACCTGTACTTCAGTTGCTCCAGATTCTTCCTTGCTTTGTTCCTGCATGGCTGCTGCCCTCCTCCTTTGCTGCTTGCAAGCTGGAGAACAACCAAAGCTACATTATAGTCTAAGAGACTTTTTTTGTCCCTAAACACTGTAAGCAGACTCAGCCCAAACACTAGCTACAGCAAAATCAAAGTTGCTCCTCACCAAACACCATCTCCTACCCTTTCCTCAGAGCCCAGGCTTGGTCCTGTTTTCCTAAGGTGCTGAAAATCAGCCAGATCATGCCACAGCTTCTCCCTGCTTCAAACAGCCATGCTGGGGCCGGAGGGCACTTATATGCCTTACTGTCCCTAAACAGCCTCACCTGGGACCCCCACCCACACAGCCCTGGGCCCCCATTTAAGCCCAGCCCTGGACTTGCTCTAGCCCTGGCTTCTACTCTGTGGTTTAGCCCTTGTGGGCTGTGCTTTAGGAAGGGGGTGCTGTGTCAGGGTTCTTCCTGGACTCTATTTCGTTCCCTCTGGAGAGGTGTCTAGGTCTCCTTACATCCCCCAGCCAGAACACAGGCTGGGATGGGGCAGGTGTTGTTTGAGCTGGGAGCTGCAGCCTTAGCCCTGCTCCCAGGGAAAGGCTGGATGGGTCAGTGGTGGATGGTTCTGCCCCAAGCTGCACTTGGGCTGCTTGGGTGCTTCTTTTCTTCATCTAAGGCTGCTGTCTCTATACCCTGAGGTTGTGACAAAGTGTGGCAGCAACTGGGGAAGTTCAGGTAGCCTCAGGGCTTTGCTTGTGGGAGCTACAGCTGGATGTGCTGCTGCTAACACCCCATGGAGCTGTGCCTGGGCTCCTCTGCCTTGCTGCTCCACTCAATTCTTGGACCTGCTCACCTCCCTCTGTATTCCCTAGGGACAGCTCAGCCTGGGCACAGTCACAGCTGTAGGTGCATGCACCCCTGCATCCTGATCTGGCTGTGTTTCTGCTCATCTCTGCCTGGATTTCCTCCAAAACTTGCTCCACTGGTTGAGGTGAGGGTCCTGGTGTGAGGGAGCGGGGATGGAGGGAAGGGGTTCCCCCTTCCACCTGCCCAGGCAACTCTGAGATGTTAATTAGACTTCCTCAATAGTGCCTCTGAGCCTATTAGCATTGCAGGCTTGTGTGTATGATTTGGAAGGCGTTGTGGGAAAAATATTTCTGCATAGATTTCCCATTGTGCAGCCTGGAGCAGTGGTCAGCGGGGGGAGGGCCAGGGCTCTCCCAAAGGGGATTTAAGGGGAGAATGTAGCTGGGGTTGCCTGGTCCTCGCCCTCCCCATTGGCTTGCAGCTGGAGCGCTTTCCCTAAGGGATGTCCGGAGTAAGTAATCGGTGTGCAGAAGAAGGGAAAAATCATGAGGGTGGGATACCCTGGGTGAGACTGGGGGGGGTAAGATCCTGAGTGGGGTGTGGGAAGATAGCCCCAGTGGGCCTGGCTTTGGGCAGTGGCTCTCCACCCCCCAGGAAACACAGCAGTTGTCCTGGTGGTGGGGGCTCCCAGGGGCTTACAGCACCCCATTTTGCAGGTCAGGGTGCTGGGCATGGCTCCAGAGTGGTCTCTGTTCCCTCCAGGCTCTATGCCACAGCAGGGACCGTGTGGCCCTGGGATGAGCCATAGGGCAGGGTTTCCAGCTGGGTCCCTGGCCCTATAAGTAGCAGATTATGGGATTTGAAGTCTGCAGCATGGACTCTGCTTTGCTGTGGGGTAACCCGGAGATCCTGGCAGCACCATGCAGGTGTGAAGGCATGCAATCCTCCTTCTCCAGTCCTGGGAGCCCCTGGGGAAGGATGGGCAGGATGGGGGACGGCACACAAATCCTAGGCATGCCATACCAAGTACCTCACTTGTCCCAAGTGCAAATATCACACAATTTGGGGTTTCTGCTGGGCTCGCATCCCTAAGCAAGCCACAGCTGATGGCCCAGGGGATGCAGTCTCTGAGCTGTTATGGGTGTTGTGGGAGCACCTTTGGCTGAGCAGATGGGTCCTTCCTGGTGTACTTCAAGGCCAATGGCTGCTCCAGAGGCAGAGCATCTCCTATCCCTCCTCCTCCCGACCGGTTTCTGCATTTCAAACAATGTCTGTGTCAAAGCTGGGCTGATGCTGGCTGTGTGTCCCTGCTGGGGATGCTGCTGGAGCAATAGGACTTTGGGAGCTGGCAGGGGGACAAGCAGGTGTCCTTGTCCCCTCTAACCATAGCATGAATCAGAGCCCAGCAAACCCCAATCATGTGTTGCTCCATTTCTCACCGGGGATGAGAGATCCACACAGCCACTTAAGCCCAATCTTGCTCCAAAATGAGCTGATTTTCTTGCAGAGATGGGAAACAGGCAGCACTCGGGGAGTCTGGGAAGTGATGTATGGCTGGTGGGAGCTGCAAGGAAGAGGTTTGGCCTGCATCTCCAGGGCGGTGCCCATGGGGCAGCAGCATCCTCACCCCTGCTGCTTTCCTCTCCCACAGATGCTGTGCTGGCGCCGCCTGCTCTCTGTTTTGAAGATGCTTTCCCACAGAAAGCAAGTCCCAGCCGGCACAGGGGGCTCCAGCCTTCGCCGCTGCCTCTCCACCGTGGACCTCGTTGCCTTGGGAGTGGGCAGCACGCTGGGGGCTGGTGTCTACGTCCTGGCGGGGGAAGTGGCAAAGACCAGCTCTGGCCCGAGCATTGTCCTTTCTTTCCTGATTGCAGCCATGGTCTCTGCTCTGGCAGGGCTGTGCTATGCCGAGTTCGGGGCCCATGTGCCCCTGGCCGGGTCTGCTTATCTCTACAGCTATGTGACAGTGGGTGAGCTGTGGGCGTTTGTCACCGGGTGGAATCTACTGCTGTCCTACGTCATCGGTATAAGGCCCTTTTGGTCCCTCCACCTTTGCTTTGCATTGGTGGCTTTGCTGGGTGCCATTCCCAGACTCCATGGGGCCACCATCACTGCCCCAGGCACTCCTCTCCCCAGGTACTGCCAGTGTTGCCCGGGCCTGGAGCGCTACCTTTGACCAGCTCCTCGGCAAGAAGATGGGGAGGTTTTTGGGTGCTCATGCGGCCATGAGCTCTGTGGGGCTGGCAGAGCACCCGGATGCCTTTGCCGCTGGCCTGGTGGTCCTGCTGGCAGGTAGGATGCCTCCCCCACCATGCCACCATCCGTGTAGGATGAGCTCCTCGCCCCACCATGGGCTCTTCAGGATGATGCTGACCCCTCTGAGGCTTTCCCAATTCCTTGAGCAAAGAATATGGAAAACAAAGGGAATCTGGGGAAACCTGCAGCTCCTCCTGATGCTAGCACTGTTCCCTCCTTTTCCACCCTCCCCGGTAATGTCTACCCTGGGTCTGGTGTCATCCACGGGGCTTGGCCAGTTTTGTTCTTTTCACCCCAGGGCTTCTTTCCTTTGGAGTGAAGGAGTCCACCACAGTCAACAAAGCCTTCACCGCTCTCAACGTGCTTGTCCTGCTCTTCGTCACAGTGAGCGGCTTCATCAAAGGTGACCTGAGCAACTGGAGGCTTGGGGAGGATGACCTGCCACGGGCAGCTGCCTGTGAGGCTGGGTATGAGGGGCACTGTGCTGCCTTCAGAGGGCGGTGGGCACAGCTGGGTCATGCTTTATCCTAGGAAATCCCACTTTCTCCCATTTCTCCCTGCCCTGTTGGCAGTGCATAAAAAGAGCCAAAGTCCTAAGCCCTGCTTGGTTGATGCTGGAGGGGTGAGCAGGTTGGATGGCCCCATGCTGGGAGCCCATTGCCCTGACCCCTCTGCACTGCCTGGCTTTCTCCTCCTCCCAGGAACCAGTCTGTGGCCGACAACGTGACCAGTGCCTTTGGGGTGGGAGGCTTCATGCCCTACGGTTTCACCGGGACCTTGGCTGGAGCTTCTACTTGTTTCTATGCCTTTGTTGGATTTGACTGCATTGCTACCATGGGTGAGGCAGGGGAGATACCAGTGGGACCCTCCCCTGCAGCCTGGGGGCCCATGATTCTTCCCATAGCCCCAAGAGCTGGTGTAGAGCTGGGCTGAGAATGAGGATGTTGCTGGTCCTTGCTGCCAATGCTCTCTCCTGCTCTCTGGGCTCAGAGGAGGTATAAAAGTCTATATGGCATGACCGGGCTAATCCTGAAGCAGAGACAGTCCCTGTCCATAACCCTAGAGCTCAGGAGGTCTGGTGGTTCTTGGCAGAAGGCCTCTGTGTCCCATCTCATGGGGGGAAACAGGATATTGAGTGAGCATCTGTTTTTACAGCTGAGCTTGTCCTCCCCAGGGGAAGAAGTGAGGGACCCGCAAAGATCCATCCCCATAGGCATCATCCTCTCCCTCCTCGTCTGCTTCCTGGCATACTTTGGGGTGTCTGCTGCCCTCACCCTGATGATGCCCTACTACCTCCTGGACACCCTGAGCCCACTCCCAGCAGCTTTTGAATACGTTGGCTGGAGCAGTGCAAAGCATGCCGTGGCTGTGGGGTCACTGTGCGCCCTGACAACCAGGTGAGGGGTGGCCCCTGATGGCAGCTCTGTGGCTCCATTGCATTGGAGCTACGACATGCAGGAGCTAACCCAAACTCCTGCCTTCTGACTGCCCTGCTCAGCCAAAATCCCTCAGCCCTTCCTCACAATACCTGTTTCTCCCAGCCTGGCCTCTCCCAATCAAGGAGAGCAACCAAATCCTTGGGCAGGCCACTTACAGCCCAGAGCTGGAGGAAGTGGTCAGGAGTTTGGTGGCACCGTGATCACAGGAGGGGGCTGGGGTCTCTTGGTGTGCACAGGGCTCCTGCTGACCTGTGAACATTGCCCTCCTGATACTGTCCCTTATCTGATGGTGAGGGAGGTGATGGTCTTGTCAGCATGGCCTTGAGAAGGTCATGGACCACATGGGAGCTCCCTTGGCACCCAAGGAGGAGCAAAAGGCAGGGTGGCACCTCCTGGATTACTGCCCTCTTCTCCGCCACTCCTCCCCTCTCTGCAGCCTCCTGGGCTCCATGTTCCCCATGGCACGGATCCTGTATGCAATGGCTCGAGATGGGCTCCTCTTCAAACCTCTGGCCAAAGTCAGTCGCCGTCAGTGCCCAGTGGTGGCAACGCTGGTGTCTGGAGGAGTGGCAGGTGGGTGGGCAATTGGGTTACACCTTGAGCAGGGCTTGGTGTGGATGTCCTCTTCCAGCAGGACAGCACAGACCCCGTAGCTCGCCAGTAGATCCCCCCAGACAGGTGTCTCCTTGCTGTGGGTGAGGACCACTTGGCCTCGATGGTGTCCCAGACACCAGTTCAGCCTCCAGGAGGTGGCAGAATGCTTTGCAGTAGTGACCAAAGCATTAAAGTGCTTGAGTCCTGTTGCAGTGGGTGTCAGGGGACTGGGGGGGTGGGAGAGGGAGAGCATGGCTGAGATGGGCACAGCAGCAGTGATGCTCTGTGGGAGGCTGAAAGGGCTTCTCATCCTCGCAGCTCTCCTGGCCCTGCTCTTTGAGCTGAAAGCCCTGGTTGACGTGATATCCCTCAGCACGCTGCTGGCCTACTCGCTGGTGGCTGGCTGTGTGCTGCTGCTCAGGTGAGACTGCTGGGGAGAGACCGGGTCTCGCCCAACTTCTGGTGTTGGCCGTGCCTGGGACAAGGTGCTGCCCTTGGCGCGCTGCGGGTGCACACCCAGACATCCAAAATCTGCTCCGCAGGTATCAGCCTGGACCCCACACTCAGGACCCTCCTGCGGGGAAGGTCCTGGCTGTGCAACTCTGTTGGGACCGCCTTGTCCAGCCACCCCCACATCCCACCCCGCGTTCCTCTGCTGCGGTGGCCTGGGCTCTGACAGCCGTAGGTACGCCCGGGAGCGATGGATGGGCTTTTATGGGGAGCTGGTGTGGGGCACCCAGGGGTGACATCGCTGCTGTAGCACAGGCTGGCAGGTTCCTGCCCGCTGAAAACCACCCGCAGCGGGATGCAGGCAGGTCTGCCTGGCTCCATCCTGCCCTCTCCCGTCTGCCGC